ATATGTATTTGAGAAATATTGAGTGTCTCCTATAGAATGCCAAGCAATCTTCTAAGCTTTGGAGATACATCCACATGTAATAAAAAATGGTTAAATGACAAATAACTTCCCCTGTGACTGGGAAGTTTCAATTCTAGAAGTGGAGGAGAGAAAATTTATTAACAAGCCAATAAACCAACAGATGCCTAATGTCCAGGTGGTTCCTTGGATTCAGTGCTGAAGAAGACTATTTTGGAAAATGATGTGTATGCCCAGATTCTGAATGACAGGAAGGGAGCTCAGGGGGAAAGAATTCCAGATGTTGGAACATCTAATACAAAGCCCATAAGGTAGGGGAGAACTTGGAAATTCCAGAATAGAAGGAATGCCATTGGTTAAAGTGAATGACAAAGTGATTGGGAGATGAATTCAAAGGAGAAGGGTAAAGACAGACTCATGGGTATTTGTAAGCACATGTGAGTTTAGATCTTATTCAGATTACTTTAGAAAGCCAATGGGATGATTTAGAAAAGTAAGTGACAGGATATCATCCACATGTAATAAAAATAATGTGGATACTAGGTAGATAATGGAGGGAAATCCATTGAAAAGACTAAAATGTGAAAATACTACACACCAATTACTCCCCTATATCTTCTCCCTGGCTAATCACTTTTAAAAGTTTGGCAATACTGCCCTGTCAGTGTGGCTCAGTGGTTGAGTATTGAACTATGAACCAGAATGTCATGATTTGATTCCCCGTCAGGGCACATGTCTGGGTTGCAGGCTCAATCCCCAGTGTGGGGCATGCAGGAGGCAACCAGTCAATGATTATCTCTCATCATTGATGTATCTATTTCTCTTTCCTTCTTATATTTAAAAATAAATAAATAAAAGTTTGGCAGTACCCATAATCACATAAACATGTATTCACTGAGATGTATTTAGGTTTGGTGTGAGAGTGTGTGTGTGTGTGCGTGCGCGCGTGTGTGTAAAAACTATGGGTTGAGCTTTTGTCCTTCCCACTTTGACCTTCTTTTAATTGTTGTCATTTATATTTTATTTATTTTATTGAATTTTTAGATGAATTAATAACTTATTATATGATTTGACACATAAAATGTATATAACATTTATTAAATTGTGAAGAATAGTAATAAAATGAACATTTGTGAACTCAACATCCAAGTTAGGAAATAGAACATGTCCCATATATTTGGCCCTTCTTGAGACCTCTTCTTAATCAATCCTTATGCCATTTCACCAGAGAAAAACTTCTAACTTTTGCTTTTCATTTCCTTGACTTATTCTAATAGTTTTTCCTCTTCCAAAAATAGATATTGTTTAGTATACCTTTTCTAAATCTTTCTTTTGCCCTAGCCGGTTTGGTTCAGTGAATAGAGCGTTGGCTTGTGGACTGAAGGGTCCCAGGTTTGATTCCGGTCACGAGCACATGCCTGGGATCCCCAGTAGGGAGTGTGCTGAAGGCAACCAATCAATGATTCCCTCTCATCATTGATGTTTCTATATCTCTCTCCCTCTCCCTTCCTCTCTGAAATCAATAAAAATATATTTTAAAAGAATAAAATAAAATTTTTCTTTTAATCCCTGGCCAATGTGGCCCACTTGGTTGAGAGTCGCCCCATACATTAAAAGGTTACTGATTTGCACACATGCCCAGGTTGTGGGTTGGGTCTCCCCAGCCAAGTGTGTATGGGAGGCAACTGATCAATGTTTCTCGCTCTCCCCCTCCTTCTATCTCTCTCTCTAAATTCAATAAAAACATATCTACACTAATAAAAGACAAACATACAAATTGACCATACCTTTGCTACACCTTAAGCCATACCCACCAGCCAATCAGAACGACTTTATGCAAATTAACCCAACCAAGATGGCGGCCAGCAGCCACAGAGCTGGAAAAAGCAGGAGGCTTGGTTGCTCCAATGATGGAGAAAGCCAAGCTACCCGCCTGCCGTGGCCAG